GTCTTTGATGACAAATACAATCTTGTGAAGTGAATACAAAAAAAGTCAAATAAATTGGTGCTCTATACATAGACATTAAGCCCAGTGTAGTGTACACAAAATAGACAGAAGAGTCAAGGGCTTTTAGACAGTGTCTTCCTAAGTCACTATATTGCCAGTATTGAACTTGTGGTCCTCCTGCCTCAGCCTCCCAGAGTGCTAGGATTTCAGGTTGCACCACCATGCCCTGTTCATTCATAATACTTCAGATGGCATTACTTGCTCCCAGATTTAACTGACATTTGTTCAGCACCTCTGTGCCAGGTATTCTTCTAAGCATTTTCACATCAATTCTTATATTCAATCATTCTTACATTCACATCATTCTTACATCAATTTTCACATTCTATTCTTACCACCTAACCAGGAGAGAATTGTATTATCATCATTATCACTTTCATACTAATTAAGAAACTGATCCTCAGAAGTTTCAGTGACTTGCCCAAGGTTACAGACTCTGTGGATTTGAGACTTAGTCCCTCAACCTGATTCAAGGCCTCTGTTCTTCCTACTAGATTATCTCATAGTTGCTGAGGAGAAAGCCTCTTAATATCCTTGACTCCTTTCAATTTCTTTTTCTTTTCTTTTTTTCTTTTTGATACTGGGGATTGAACTTAGGACCTTGGGCTTGTGAGGCAGGTGGTGCAGCCACTGAACTAAATCCCCGGCCCTCCTTTCAATTTCTGATATCCCCCACCTTCATCATGTCCATCAGCAAATATTGGTACCTCCACCTCCAAACTCTGACTACTTGTCACCACCTCCACTGCTGCCTCCCTGACCCATGCCACCATCATTTCATGCCTCAATCCTGCAATTGTCTCCTCACTGGTCTCCCTGCTTCTACCCTTGCCCCCTATTCCAATTTTCTCCACAGTAGCTAGGATAATCCTTTTCAAACACAAGTCATGTCATAAAACATGTCATCAATGTACTAAAAACCTCTCCAGTGGTTTCTCGTCTCTTTCAGGATAAAAACCAAAGCCTCACAGGGATTGCCCCTTCCCCTTCCACTTCTCTGTCTCCCACATCTGTTCCTTGGCTCATTCTTTTTCTTTTCTTCTTCTTTTTTTTTTTGGCTTTTTTGAGACAAGGTTTCACTATGTAGCTCAGGCTGGCCTTGAACTCACTATGTTGCACAGGCTGGGCTCAAATTCTTAGCAATCCTCCTGCCTTGGCCTCCCGAGTGCTGGGATCACAGGCATGTGCCACCACGCCAGCTCCCTTGGCTCATTCTATTCAGCTCCACTCTTCTCTGTCAACAAGGAGATGCCTATCTCTGGACCTCTGCATTTGCTGTCCCTCTCCTGGATGGCTCCTCCCCAGGATGTTTGTGTGGTTTACTCCCTCCCTATTACACCTCAGCTCAAAATCCCCTTATCAACAAATCCTTTCTGACCACCTTTCACAAACTCAAAAACTGCCCAGATTGTAATCTCCACCTTCCACCACACTGCTCTATGAATCTCCATACCCCTTATTACTGCTTAATACACTGTGTGTTTCCTTATTTCTTCACCCCCATCTTGTTAGAATGTAAGTCCCAGGAAAATAGGGATTTTATTTTATTTCCTGTCCTTAGAATGCCATTTTCAGTTCCTACAATGTCTAGTGCTTAGTAGGTGCTCGGTGAATGGAGGCAGGTGACTAAAGAACAGGACCTATAGATTCAATGAACAGAAAGACATTTTTCTTCGGAGTGAAAACACCTTGTATACTAGGCAGTGGTGTAAGAAGTTTTTATCTTCCAGTTGGTGTTTTGGTCTCTAAACCTCAGGATCCATCTCTGAAAGCCTTAACTAAATCGAGTGGACTCAAATTATCTTGGCCTATGCATTGCTGACATTTGTTGGGCCACGAACTATATAGCCTGGTATTGTCAAGGAGCCTGGTGTTGCCCTCTTGTCTCTCTTAGGTTTCCCTTGCTCTTTTCTAAGGTACTGTTGTGTGACTTCAATTCTTTAGAGATTTTATTCTGGTCAATGGGAGAGGTAGCTGATGCCCTGTCTGTGACTAGGAGTCTATACAGGGAAATTCATCCAATTAAATTAAGCAGTAGTAATTCTTAATTGACACAAATGAGACAGACCGACAGCTGGAGGAGTGGGGGAGGGTCAGGGAGCAGATGCCCTGCAGAATGGAGAAAGAAGAGGAGCAGAATATACATTCAACTGATAGTGGAGAAGCTCACTTGCATCTAGGGTTTTTGCCACCAGAAGGGTTAGCTTTGCTGGAGCAGAAAAGATCCAGAGGGGTCTTTGCCAAGGATGAGGCAACAGGTTCCAAATTCTCGAGCTACTTTGGTTGCACTGGTGGCCAACACTGCCTCTTTTCATGTACCGTCATTTGTGAGAATTGCTCTTGGTGAGGTTTTTCACTCTCATTCTGGGTTTTTCTTTCTTTTTTTTTTTTGCATACTTTTTAAAAAATAAATTTTATTTTACTTTATCCCATCCTCCCCTCAAGACCACCCCCTCCCTATGTACAAAAGCTTTGTTTCCATTTTTTCCCTCTATTTTCACTTTTTTTCTTGTTCTGGATTTTTCCAGACACTGTGAATTTTTTTCTTCTCCTTCTTCCTTCTTTTTTTTGAGGCACTTCTCTCTATGTATCCAGGCTGGCCTCAAACTCATGATCCTCTTGTCTCAGCCTCCTGAGTGCTGGGATTATAGGTGTGCACTACCACTCCTAGCTTTCCAGATAAATTTGTGCAATAATCTTTGGAGAAAAGAAACTTTTTTCAGTAGTGGGTTGGATCCAAGGGTGCTCTACCACTGAGCTACATCCTCAGCCCATATATATATATATATATATATATATATATATAT